CTCCTTGACAGTCAGCGTCTCGTAGAACACATCGTCCTGCATGACGTACGACGCGTACTTGTTCATTTGCTTGGTCCACTTTTGGCCGTTGGCCAGAACCGACCCCGTGTAGTCCTTCTGCCGGCCCGAGATGACGTCGAGGAGCGACGACTTGCCGGCGCCGGACGGGCCCATCATGACGACCAGCTCGCCAGGCACCGCGATGCCACTGAGGTCGTTGAGGATGACCTTGTCTTCGACTTGCTTCGTGGCTGTGTTTTTGATCTTGACGACCTTGGAGACATTTTTCCATTCGAGTGTGATCTTGGGCACGTCGACAAGGATGTCGGCGCCGGCCTTGGGCGTCGCGACGTCAATGTAGTGGGCTTCGCTGGACATGGCACAGACGATGCGAAATGAAAAATGGACATCGACCGAAGCCATTGCAAGCGTCCGTTCTATACGGACCGACACCCGCGTTACACATCGTTGGTTGGTTGGCGCCAAATTATTTTATTTGCTTGATTAAAAATACGAAACCAGTGTTTCGCGCGTGCAAATCGAGTCTTGTGACCATCATTTCGGTGCGTACGCGATTAGTCAAGCACGAGAATCGACGAATATTACTTGATCGATTGAGCCACGTCACTATAAACGCGGTGATGGCTTGACCAACGCTGCGGATTATGCGGCTGCGAAGGCGCGTGATAGATCACGGCAAATCAAAGCCAAAACAGTGGAAGCGATTCTCTTTCAAAAGGCGGTCGTGTGTAGCAAGAACGCGTTCTCACATTAGAAGGAGAGGGCTGCGTCGTGTAGTTGGCGGTCGCTGCTCGTGTCCCGCACCCTCTACACTGCCTGCACCAAGTTTTTCCACAGACGCAACCATCACTCTTCCTCGGTTGAGAGAGCAAGCCGAATGATGACGTCATCAATCCAGACCCAGCACCTGCTGATCATGCGAAGAAGCAAACCACCGAATCACATACGTGGCGGTGTGTGACGCCAGAAGTCGAACAGAATCTGAATAAGGTGGATGGACTGGTGGATGGTCCAACCAAACGTGCGGTCTTCGCTCATGTTCGTAGCCTTCGACGACCTTCGGCGCGTGGGCAACTCGTTGAAGTACGTGATCAGAGGTCGGAAAGAGACACGCGAGTTGGTGATACCAGCTCACCTCGGAACATATCCTAGAACAATGTACGGCGCTGCGCAGGACCAGCCGAAAAATCGGACGCAATGGACAGCACGTTCCAGCCATTGTGGACTCCGCAAAGCTCTCCGCAATGGCTTGAACGTTGCTCACATCGTGTAGAGACGACCGTCTGCGCGGCACGTGACGTCCCACGTCGCAATCACGTTATCAACAGCCGACGTAATCGCATGTCGGGATGGCGCGCCATAGCATTTCAAGCCCTTGATGCAGAACTCGGGCGCGATGTTGCGTTCGGGAGTCCTGTCAATCAATATTTCTTCAATCGTCTTGGGATATCATTGTATCTGGGCGAGGGGACTTGGAACTTGCCCTGTCGCTGACGTACGATTTGCCGCCTCTCAGACGCACCCGTCGGCTCTCTCTCTCGTCGCCATGATCGCCACCACACGCGATTTGAAAGTGCATTCATAGATAAACGGCCACTACTACTTCTTGCCGCGAAGTCGCCGCGCGAGCGCGATCATGCCAAAGGCCCGGAACATGGCGTTGATCCAAAGAAGAAAGCCAACGTCGTAGGCCATGTCTTCCTTGTTGAGCGCGAGGTTGGCGAGCACTTGGGCGCCGGTGGTCGCCGCGCACGGCTCGCTGTCGCAAGGAATCGTGTCGATCGTGGTCCAGAAGGCGCGACTCATGCCACGGAAGGCATATTTCATCGGCGAGATGAACTCGAGCCAGCTAAAGTAGACGGGCACGTTGTTGGAGTTGATGAAGAGGCCGCCAAAGATGAGGAACGGGAGGATGATGAGGATGCCGATGATCGGTGCAATGTCGGGCGTCTTGGCGAGGCACGACACCATGTAGCCGAGACCGGTCGCCGAGCTCGAGAGGAGTGCAATGTACATGTAGAGCGTAAAGAAGAGCGTGGCGTTCGAGGCGCCAAAGCCGATCATAAAGTATGCGGGCACGAGGAAGACGAGCGGAAAGAAGATCTGGAAGAAGAGCTCGCTCACATTCTTGGCCAGATACCAGACGTACGACCGGTACAGGCCACCGTAGTACTCGCGGGCCATGAGGGGCAGCTCGATCGGCACGGAGGCAAACTCGGGCGTGGCTGCCCCAAAAAACTGGTTGACGACGATGAAGAAGAGCGCACCCGTGAACGACTGGACGCCCGCCTGGTTCATTTCAATCTGCCGAAAGATCAAGCCGACGACGACCGAGATGATGATGCTCTGGCCGAGGCGAGCCTTGAACGCGAGTGAGTCGCGTACGAGACGCGTCACGTTGCGCTTGCAGAGCACGCGAAGCTGGCCGAGCGTGCCGAGGTGCGAGCTTTCGTACGACGCGTCGTCGTCGTCGCCGGCCAATGACGCGTCCGTCGAGCCGTCGTCGGCGCGGGCGTGGGCGCGGAAGTGGTCGACGAACTTCTGGACGCGCGTCGCCGCCTCCGACTTGTTGTCCAAGACGATGATCTGGCGCATAAAGTAGTCGGTCGGGTTCATGTAGTTGGGACATTGGTAGCCCTGCGACGCAAAGTACTCGACCGCGTCCGACGCCTTGCCGTTGTAGATCGGTTGGCCGTCCGAGAGAAGGTACAGACGATCAAAGAGCACAAACAGCTCCGACGAAGGCTGGTGGATCGTCGCAATGACCGTGCGGCCTTCGCGCGCGAGCTTCTGCAGCTGCAGAATGACCGACTCGGCCATGAAGCTGTCGAGACCCGACGTTGGCTCGTCCACAAACAGAAGCGACGGGTTGGTCAAGATCTCGGTGGCAAAGCTGAGGCGCTTGCGCTGACCGCCAGAGATACCGCGGATGCGACCGCCACCGATCTGGGTGTCGCGGCACTTGTCGAGACCGAGCTCTTCAATGACGTAGTTGACGCGTGCTTCGCGCTGGGCGGCGTCAAAGGTCTTGCCCATGCGGAGCTCGGCCTGGAAGAGGAGGTGCTCCTTGACAGTCAGCGTCTCGTAGAAGATGTCGTCTTGCAGCACATAGGACGCCAGCTTGTTCATCTTCTTGGTCCACTTTTCACCGTTCACGAGAACGGACCCTGTGTAGTCCTTCTGCCGGCCCGAGATGACGTCGAGGAGCGACGACTTGCCGGCGCCGGAAGGGCCCATGAGCACGAGGAGCTCGCCGGGCGCCGCCGAGCCACTAACGTTGTCGAGGATGACCTTGTCTTCGGTCTGATTGGTGGCCGGGTTCTTGATTGTGACGACGCGGCTCACGTGATTCCACTCGAGCGAGATCTTGGGCACGTCCACAAGCATCTTGGCGCCGGCCTTGGGCGTCTCGACCGTGATGAAGTGCTCGTTCATGGCAAATCTCGAAATGGCGATACCTACAGCGTTACGCTTCATGACGTGGCATCCGGAATCGACAGTGCGAACTTCTGTGATTGGTCGCTTTCGTACTGACCACTGACCGACCAGCGGCTGGGGAACGGGTCCGATCACGTGCATTCTTCCAAAAAGAGATTCGTGGTCTTCGGTCGACGTCATGTTTATGGTGTCAAGATGGGCTGGCGACGGTAACGATCCCGTATGCAAGCCCCTTACCGGTATTTTCATTCTCGACGGTGGATTTACCAGTATACTTCAGTCGTGTGGAGGGAGCTTCAGCAGTGGTCGGTCGCTCCGCCGAAATTCAGTACGCTTATATCGAAATAAACGTGTGGATGATGCGTATCGTATTTCGCGCAAACATGCCAAGGACGAGAGAATAACCGTGCTTGTGCGAAACGGAAATACCGTCATGGTCGTTCTGCGCATCCAGGTATTCCCCACACCCTCGTAACGATAGGAAGGAAGCACCAACCCAGCCTTTGTGCCCTTGGTTCTGACACAGATTCTTTTTCAAGTACGAGTATCGTTTGCGACAGCGTCACGCTTAGCGAGGTCTCCGAGATGACGTTCATATCGCCAATCTACCTATCCATTTCCGTGAAATGCATCGTTGTTGGATGTCGGGTGCCCCTCCATGCAAGGACGCCGTCTCTCGGCTCGTCCTAGTGTTTCCATAGAACGTACGCGGGCAGTTTTAATTCAAGGTTGTGGTTGGCCAGACAGAACGAACGATGATTTTCGATGTATGACGTGGCAGCGTCGCATGCGCGGTACGAAAAATCGCACTTTATAGGGCGTTCGTACTTTCGGCATGGGCATTAATTGGCCACGATGGTCGCAGTCTCCCGCGCGGTCGTGGCAACGGCCGTCGCATCGGCGCTCTCCACCGCGATCGTTGTCTACTACGCGCTGCACCACGCAACGTCCAAGGCAGCAAAGGCGGAGCTCAAGGATCTCGCCAAGAAGGAGCGCGACGGTCGCGTCCGGCTGCAGATCGCCCTCGGCAGCGCCCAAGACAAGATCAAGGCGCTCGAGGCCGCGCTGCAGTCGCACGGCGTATCGCCCCAGGAGATCCTTGATCTAACGACGACCAATGCCAAGCCCAAGCGCGGTGCGAAGAAGGATGTCGTCGTGCCACTACTCACGGTGCAAACGATCGGGACAATCGCGTCGCCGTACTCGACGCGGAACGGAACGCCTCGGCAGCCGTCGCTCGTCACCACGTCGGTCGCCAAGCTGCAGCTGCACAAGCACATTCCGCCTTCGGCCCTGCTCTCGCTCGCCGAGTTTAGCCACGTCTGGGTCGTCTTCCATTTTCACCAAAACACCAATGTGCACAAGCCGACGGCGCAGGTCAAGGCCACGATCAAGCCGCCGCGGCTCAATGGCGCCGCTGTCGGCGTCCTCGCGACCCGATCGCCCCATCGCCCGGCACCCATCGGTCTCTCGCTCGCCAAGATCATCGCTGTCAACGCCGACGAAGGCTACGTGCTCTTCCAGGGCCTCGACCTTGTCCACGGCACCCCGGTCGTTGACATCAAGCCGTACGTCGCCTTTAGCGATACACCATCCGACGCCTCCGCCCCGGCGTGGGTCGGCAAGGAGCACGCAGATGGCGACGAGCCGCTCGCGATCACGCACGTGTCGTTCGACGACGGCGCCGCCGACGCGATTGCAAGCGCGTTCCAGGCCTGTCAAGCGACGCGGTCCAAGCTCTGCGCGATCGACCTCTTCCCGACCCTCGAGTCGTTCGTGGCGTTTGTGCAGGAGAACCTGCGCCTCGACATGCGCTCGACCCGGGAGCGCGTGGACCCCAAGTTTGACGACTACCGCGTCACGCTCTGCGATATTGTCATTTCGTATCGCATGACGCAGCCCGGCCCTGGCGTCGCCATTATGGGCGCCAACGTCGTCACGGATGCGACGGCGCAGCCCCGAAATGAATGAAACAACACACTGCAAGTTGCCGTGATGATGCATCGCTGGAATCATTTTGCCTCGAGGCACAGCTGCAGACTAGTCGTACTTCAAGTCCAAGTAAAAAGCGTGGCAAATATGTGTTAGATACGATTTTGGGATGGAAGCCGCACTTTGTCGACCTCGCCATGGTCTACGGCATGGTGATAGACCAACGTCCAGTAACACTAGGATCCATGTGCGGCATTTCATTGTGACGCGACGACTACCCGAGTCACCTAAAAGTCTTAACTCGGCCCCTCGAGTCACATGAAAGTCAAAAATGGGCCTTTCGAGTCAGCGCCAAATCGTCAAATGCATTGACAGTGTCGAATTCCGCAAATTCTATCCAAGCTTCGTTTTTTTTGTCATGTGTATACTAGTGTGCATTTGATTGCGGGACACCATAGAGGCTCTTCCCTCGTCCGATTGTGCAACCATAGCTGGCAGAAGATTGCAATTCTTTCTTGGACCCTTCAGTGCAAGATTTCACAAATGTTTTAGTTTGTTCATGAAAGAGGCTACGTCTACGCGAGTTTGCGGAGCTTGTAGCGTAGCGAGAGGAGACCAATGAGGCGGAAGAGAACATTGATCCAAATGAGGAACGACACGTCGTACGCCATGGTGTTCGAGTCGAGCTGGAGGTGAGCGAGGACTCCCGCGCCTGAACGCGCGACGCAGGTCTCGATCGCGTCGTCGCACGGAATGGTGCCGATCGTCGTCCAGAAGGCACGGCTGATGCCGCGGAAAGCGTACTTAAGCGGGGAAATGTACGCAAACCACTGTAGGTAGACAGGGATGTCGTTGAGGTTGAGGAAGAGGCCGCCGAAAAGTACGAACGGGAGAATCACGAGGATGCCGAGGATGGGCGCGATCTCGGGCGTCCGCGCGAGACACGACACCATGTAGCCGAGCCCGACGGCGGTGCTCGTGAGCAGCACGATGAAAACGTAAAAACTGAAAAACAGAGTCGCATCGCTCGATCCAAAACCGATCATAAAGTACGCAGGCAGCAAAAACACGAGCGGGAAGAAAATCTGGAACCCGAGCTCGCTCACATTCTTGGCCAAGTACCAGACCCAGACGCGGTACAGACCGGACGAGTACTCACGCTCCATGATTGGCAGCTCCAACGGCACGGTGAGAAATTCTGGCTGCGCGGCGCTGAAAACTGGTTGATGACCATGAAGAAGATGGCACCCGTGAACGACTGGATGCCATTTTGGGTCAAACCCAGCTTGAAGAAGATCATGCCCACAATGACCGAGATGATGAGCGTCTGCGCGAGGCGTGCGCCAAACGCAAACTTGTCACGGACAGTTCGCGTCACATTGCGCTTGCAAAGGACGCGTAGCTGACCAAGGACGCCGAGGTGCGTCTCGATGTACACCGTGTCATCGGTGTCGAGGGAGCTGGTTGCCGTTTCGGCGCTGAGTCGAGCTTCCGACTCTTCTTTGGCCCGCCAGTTGGCAACGAGGCCACGGACCCTCGTCGCTGCCTCGGACGATTGGTCCAAGACGATGATCTGCCGCATAAAGTAGTCAGTCGGGTTCGTGTACGTAGGGCACGGGCATCCTTGCGACGCAAAGTAGGCTACCGCCTCGGATGCCTTGCCGTTGTAAATGGGCTGGCCGTCCGAGAGAAGATACAGACGGTCAAAGAGATCGAAGAGCTCCGACGATGGTTGGTGGATCGTGGCAACAACCGTACGGCCCTTGCGTGCAAGGGACTGGAGCTGATGCACGACTGACTCGGCCATGAAACTATCGAGGCCCGACGTCGGCTCGTCCACAAACAAAAGCGACGGATTTGTCAAGATCTCGGTGGCGAAGCTGAGGCGCTTGCGTTCGCCGCCCGAAATACCGCGGAGGCGGCCGCCACCGATCTGCGTGTCTTGGCACTTGGTCAAGCCAAGTTCGTCGATAACGTAGTCGACGCGCTGACGCCGCTCGTCGGCGGAGAAGAGCTTGCCCATGCGCAGCTCGGCCTGGAACATCAGATGCTCGCGGACCGTGAGTGTTTGGTAAAATATGTCGTCTTGCATGACATACGATGCCTTCTTGTTCGTGTTTCGGTTCCACGGCTCGCCATTGACGAGGACAGACCCCGTGTAATCCTTTTGTCGTCCGGCGATGACGTCGAGGAGCGAGGACTTGCCAGCACCGGATGGGCCCATGAGTACAACGAGCTCGCCGGGGCACGCGACGCCGCTTAAATCGTTCAAAATGACCTTGGTATCGAGCGTTTTGGTTGTCGCGTTCTGGACCTGGACCGATCGACGGATCTGCTTCCACTCCAACGTCATCTTTGGCACGTCGACGAGCAAGTCGGCTCCCGACCGCGGTTCGTCATAGCACGCTGCAGGTGTGTGCACCTCGACAAAGTGGTGTGGCGACTTGACGTGCTGGGGTGACTTGATGTTGTGCATGTTGCTACAAGCTTGGCAAAAGCTACAATGAAGATCAGAAAGGAACGAAGTTTCGTTTGCCACATTCCAATTGCCGACCTTCGAAAAATGCGACCCTTGGATTGGTCCGTCGATATTTCAGTGCATATGATTGGCTGATAAAATTATGGAGCGTTCGGATTGGCGTAGCTGCACCGTCCTGGGCTCGATGATGGGATACTTCGACAGCCGAAAACGTTACCATCGCAAACCAATATACATGCACAGAACATTGAGAAGCCTGCTCAACTGCCAATCTCAATTGCCACGATTCAACAGCAATGAGCGGTTTTGTCGCGTTTGCTGCCGAGCTTCCAGTAAAACGTTGCACTAACATACCCGGTATACGATCGATCGAGAGCAACGCTCAGGATTCATTGTCAACATCGAGTGCCTTCTCGGTGCGCTTGGCGTGCGTGCATAAGAAATCTCCTGAAAGATTACGTGGTCTACTTGTCTATCTCGTTATCAACTTCAATGGAAGGATAGCGGGAACTTCCTACGCTCCAGACGTCGGCGATCATCAATGAGCTGTCTTTTGATGGAACGAACGCATCTTCGCCTTCCACAGATTGCGCGAGGCCTCGATACTAAACAATTTGCTGTGAACCTGTGGTGCCGCTCAATGGAGGGTTTGCCCGGAACAAGTGCAACCACTTATATATGAACGTGTTTCGCGTTATCTTCGTTGTTACAAAGAGTTCGCATACGTAGAGACTAGCAATCTCCTTCTTTTTCATTCGCTCGCCGGGCCGTGGCTGCGCAGGCGGCGGCGCGGGGGCGCATCTTGTTCTTCTGTAGTCGCGCGGCGGCGTTTGTGGCCGCGGGTGAGGCCCATGATGACAAGCTCCGTGGATTCCTTCCAGGCGTCGCGATCGGCGGCAAAGCTACGCAGTTTGTTGAGGTCCTCGAGAGACGCCAGCGACTGAGGCGGCGTCAACGACTGGAGGTCGCGGTGCAGGACGATCGGCAACGTGATCTTGGTGTGCAACCACTTACATTGTAATTTGATTCGAAGCTAAAATGCAGGCTTCGCTTGCGAAAGTCAACTATCCACGTGCCACGTTTCTATCTCGACTGTAGGACCTGACTGCGAGCCCACCGACGCCTCTTTAAACCTCTATGACGGTTTGAGCGGCGTAAAAGAACGGGGGGCTAAATGCACTCAAGGATACTTGACTACCGAGCGACCATCCATCAGCAACTCCAACCGCACCAAACGAACTACTGTGAGGGATTAGCAACGACATGCGTCACAAGCCAACAAGGGAATTGCTATTGATGCGAGTCATTCAACTTGTTTTTGTAAGGCAGTCGCCCTTTTTCTCCAGGCAGCAGCTAAAGCCGTGCAGCTCGATGAGCGCCCCGTTTCACAGCGCACACGGCATTGCTCGTTTACGCAAATCGCGACACCCACAATTGCCACCACGGTTTTCGCCTCCCTCGTTGATCGCCACCTATTTCTTACAAGGTATTATCTTCTACAGGGGATGTCATCTTATTTTATTATACAATTGACAATTTGGGAAAGAAAACTTCAATTTGAAATCAAACCAATTACACAGTATATCCATTTATACAGGTCTACCTTGGTGACTAACAATAGCCCTCCTTATTATAGCCGCATGAACGCCCAGGACTTCGTCTCCTTTCACCCGACGCTTGCACCGTGTGATACTTGTTCAGTGCTCATTCTACCATGGCTGCTGCACATGAAGAAGGCGCGCCTCCACCGCACAACGACCACTTTATCGCGGTCCACACCCCTAAAGTCAGCGCCGCGAGCAAGAAAATGCTCGTCGACGTGCCCAAGATGGGACTCACGTGGAACATCGAGTCGGTCACTGTCGAGATTCAGAAAAACCGCACGGAAAAGTTCACCAAAACGATCCTAAAGGACGTCAAGGGCGAAGCGCAACCAGGTCAAATGATAGTCATCATGGGGCCGTCCGGCGCCGGCAAGTCGTCTCTTCTCGACGTCATCGCGGGCCGAAACTTAAAGTATCAAGGCTCTGTGCTCGTCAACGGCCAGCCGTGGAACCAGAGCATGAACCGCCGTGCGTGCTACGTCATGCAAGACGACATCTTTTATTACACGCTGACCGTGAAAGAGCACTTGATGTTTCAAGCCGACTTGCGCATGGGCAATGCATCGTCGCCGACCGAGCGGGCGGAGCGTGTCGCATTCGTCATTGACGAGCTCGGCCTCAAAAGAGCCAAGACACGCCGATCGGGAACGAAGCGAACCGCGGTATCTCGGGCGGCGAGCGCAAGCGTCTGAGTTTCGCGACCGAGCTTCTCACCAACCCGTCGCTTTTGTTTGTCGACGAGCCGACGTCGGGTCTCGACAGCTACATGGCCGAGTCGGTCATGTTGCAGCTCCAAAAGCTCGCACAAGAAGGGCGCACGGTCCTAGCGACGATCCATCAGCCGTCGTCCGAAATTTTTGCTCTCTTCGATCGTCTCTACCTTCTCTCGAATGGCCGCACCGTCTACAGCGGGAAAGCCTCCGAGTCGGTCGCGTACTTTGCCGCGATGGGATACCAATGTCCGACGTACATGAACCCGACGGACTACTTTATGCGACAAATCATTGTCTTGGACCTTGAGAGCCCCGATGCGGCGCGGGTGGCTGCGATCGCCGACGCGTGGGCAACGAGGGCAATCGCGCCGACGGTACCCAGTGACGCGCGGGCACTCGATGCGAGCATGGAAGAGTACAAGGAGACGCGATTGGGACTTTTGGGGCAACTCCGCGTCCTTTGCCAGCGCAACTTGCTGCGTATAGTGCGCGACAAGATCGCGTTCAAAGCGCGCTGCTTCCAGAGCCTCTTCATCTCGGTCATTGTCGGTCTCGTGTACCTCAACTTGACCCTGTCGCAAACGGGGCTCCAAAGTTTCTCGGGTGTCCTCTTTTTCATCTCGATCAACCAAGTGTTTTCGAGTGCCAACTCTGAGTTCATTTCCGTGCCGTTGGAGCTGCCCATCATGCTTCGCGAGTGGAACGCGGCCTTGTACCGGTCGAGCACGTGGTACTTTGCCAAGAACATTTCCGAGGTCATCTTCCAGCTCTTCTTCCCGATGCTCTTTTGATCCCGCTCTACTTTATGATTGGCTTTGGCCCGACGAACGCGACGGTCTTCTTCAGCTTCTACATGTACCTCGTGCTCCTCAACAGCTGCGCGACGGGTCTCGGCTACATGGTCTCGTGCATGGTGCGCCGCGCCGACATTGCGCCCGTCATCGGCATCGTCATCATCCTCCCGCTCGTGCTGTTTGGTGGTCTCTTTCTGAACGCGAGCAACACGCCCGACTACTTTATCTGGCTCGAGTACATCTCGCCACTCAAGTACGCCTACCGCGGCCTGAGCCGCGCGTTCTGGAACTCGGTTGATACGATTCCATGCGACTCGAATCGCTGCATCGCGACGTCCGGCGCCCAAGTGCTCAGCAACATGTCGCTCGACGATGCTAGCTTTACCATTGACGCGATCGTTCTCGTCGCCATCAACCTCGGCTTTCGGCTCGTTGGACTCTTTTTCTCTCGCGCATGGTCCGCTCCAAGTAAATGGACCGAGCGCCGAGAGAGAATTGAATACAAAGGAGTGCGATGTCAAGTGTTGGCACGTTAGTCTGAGTAGGTGATGTAGTCTGTACTAGTATAAAGATGTCAATCCATATCATTTCACAGCAAGTATTGTGTACAGAAACAAGTATAATTGATGTAGGCGTTAGTTCAGGGCCAGCGCGGTCGCAAGCACCAGCACACTGCACGACGCCAACATTGATGCTGACGAAGACACGGGCGCCGTCGTGGTTGCCGTCGGCTTGGGCTTCGTTGTCGTCGCCGCCGCCGTCGTGACCGGACTGTCGGTCAACAGCATCGGCTCCGGCGCGGACGTCGAGTTGTCCGATGGCGCGGTCGTTGCGTCCAAGGCATCGGTTGTCGTAGGCACCGGGGTGTCCGAGCTCGGCGCTGTCGTTGCTGGTGTCGTAGTGCCCGGGGTGTCCGATCCAGACGTCGTCGGATTGGGCGTCACGGACGACGGGTTCGGGCCGGGCGCGGGGCCAGGCGCGGGGCCGGAGGTAGGGCCTGGAGCAGGACCGGGGGCA